TCCATCCATCCATCCATCCATCCATCCATCCAATCTGTCCATCTGTTTGTCTCTCTATCTACCCATCATTCCAAATGATGCCTCAGTTCTATCCTTTTCTCTGTTTGAGCCATTGTGAAAATAAAGCTCAAAGATGACGGCTCATTCTCTCATTTCTCTATTTGAAACATCAAGACAACCTTGTTCAAATGGCTCTTTTCAGGGTCATTTAAGCTTCATTTGGCACAAGAGCATCTTTTACAAATGAAGTCTACCTCTATTGTTATCTCATTAGTATGCAAGAAGCGAAGAGCTCTAATCAATCCCACTACAGCGGTAAACATCTACACGAGTGGGGTCACTATAGCTATGGAGCATACAGGCTGTCATATAGTTAGCCAGATGATCCAGAATACGTGAATGCTAATAAAAATATATATTACTAACTTTCCCAGAAAATTTAGAGAGTCAAGAATATATAACTGGAATCCCCTGTCTGACCCTGGGTGGAAATACTATTCTACAAGTTAATTCAAATTCCACCTGCCTTCTTCTGATGTCTTAATTCTTCCATTCCCTGTCTCTAGACAGAATTGCTTCCACTTCTCAGCTCCCATCATGCTATTTCTTGCCTTTGCTCATGCTACTTTTTCAGCCTGGAACCACCTCCCCTCAGAAGCCCTTTCTCTATTCTAGGCTTGAGTAGATCCTTTCACTGGGGTCCCAAATATCCAAGGTCTATCTCTATCATTGCATTTATCATAATCTTCTTTTAGAGTCTGTATCCACTGCTAGACTGCAAGATTCTAGAGATAAGAACTGTGTCTGATTCAGCTCGGTATGTGTGGGACCTACCACAGGGCATGGCACAGAGTAGGTGCTCACACAATGTTTGGTGACTGAAAGTATGGACAGTACCTGCCGGTCTGCGAGATCAATCTTGTTTCCCAGCACCACCATGGGGTAGGAGGGCTCCACTGGAATAGTTTTGGCCAGAACATCACCCCGCCAGGTGTCCAACGCTTCAAAGGACTCTAGGTCGGTGACATCGAAAGCCAGGATGCAGCCGTCGGAGCCTTTGTAGAATGTGGACACCATGGAGCGAAACCGCTCCTGTCCGCCTGTGTCCCAGATCTGGAGGGAAAGAGCAGCCACCCCATCAGGCCGTGATGAGGGCCTGGAGGTAAGCCCAACAGGGCCACATGATGTCAAAGTTTCCTTTTCTGGGTAGGAGGCAAGACAGCCCCGGCACAGGCACTTGGGGTCCTTCCACACACGGGCATCTTCACCCTCTCGCCCATGGACACCATAGCATCTTTGCACCATCGTCTGAGCTCGAGCATTTCCCCTGGCTCATCGGGACAAGCACAGTTATTCTCATCTGTCAGATTTGGACCTTGGGAGAGACTTGCTCAAGGCCACTTACCAAGATTTCCAGAGGACCTGAGACTAGGAGTGAGGCCTCCCAACTCCTAGATTTGTCCTTTTCCACACTCCCCCCACCCCCAGATCAGGGATCAGCAATTTTTTTCTTAAAGGGCCATGTTGTAAATATTGTAGGCTTTGCAGACCACACTGCGTGTTGCAACTACTCAGTTCCGCTGTAGCGGGGAGAGCAGCCATAGACTGTAAGTAAACAGCAGACACGGCTGTGTTCCAGTAAAACTTAATTTACAGGAACAGGTGGTGGACCACGTTCAGCCCCTGAGTTGAAGTCTGCTGATCTCTGCTCCAGACCTTTGTAGCTCCTGGTGCACACTGCTCCGTGAGTGGCTAGCTAGGGAATGTGGGATGATTTCCAGCCACGCATGCTGAAGAGGGAAAGGCTGAGCTGCTCACCTGCAGCTTCAAAGTTGTGTCGTCCAGGATGATAATCTTGGAGAGGATGCTGGCCCCCAGCGTGGTCTGGTAGTCCTCATAAAATGTCTTGTGCACATACCGGTGGAGGAGGGAAGTCTTTCCTACACTGAGGACAAACCCCCAGACACATGTGAGCAATGCACGTGCACGCACGCACACACACACACACACAGAGCCATACCATTTTCCAATCTTGCCATGCGCCTCCTGCTGCCATCTCTCCGAGAGTCTGAATTTCTAACACCTGCAGTCCCGTGACCACAGTGAGAAGTAGGAGACTAGAGAATGGACTCGAGAAGCCGGGACCCATCCACATAAACCAGAAACCAGGCAGCCCAGCTCTCAGGCTCTTTTGCTCATCTGAGCTCTCTCTCTTCCTGGGGGTGGGATGTCCTCCTTGGTGCCACTCTGAATCAGAGAGGGACCCATGGTAGGTGGGAAATATTCAGGAGGTTTCCCTGCCCTTGGATAGGGGCCGCTTCCCAACCCCCCATCCCCTGAGCCTCTCTGGGCTTACCCCAGGGCTCCAATGATGATGAGCTTCAGGTCCACCTTCTTCCGGGGATTCATGGAGGGATGTCAGAGCCTGCAGGGAAACAGAAGTCGGTTGCATGCTGGTCAGAGTCTCCGGCACCATTGTTGTTGGGGCTGGCCTCTGCTTTCCCTTCCTTGACGTGCAGATCACTGCTCTGGGCCCAGCGAGGTGGTGGTGTTTGCCCACAGAGACAGATGATCAGCAACCCTTACGCCCCCTCACCAGCTTCCTCTTGGGGCCTCCCTGAGGCTGCCAGTGTGGTGGCCCCACAGGACAGGCACATGGCTTACCCTTCAGCTTTACCAACCCTGCTCTTGGAGGCAGCCTGGAGTGCCAAGAAGACCGGACAGGACTGAACAGAGGCCTCAAGGACAGTCAAGCCTGGGGCCAGGGATGGAGGGCAGTGTGGGAAGAGGAGATGGGGGCAGGACAAGGGGTCCATTGTCAGGACTGCCCGGGAGGCTTTAGATGGAGAGTGCCCCTCCCCCAGCCCGAGGTGTCGCCACAATCACGGAATCAAAAAGCTCTTCTCCAATGCAGCTGGTGGGGGTGTGACTGGTACATGTTTCTGGAAAGCTACTTGGTAGCCTGTATTGACAGCCCTAAAAATGTTTCTGCCCTCCACTTCTAGGAATTTGTCGTAAGGAAATCATCTGAAATGTGGGCACAGAATCTTGTTCAAGAATGTTCTTCACAGTATTATTTATACACATTCGACAACAAGGAAGTGGGAAGGGATGCCTGGGTGGCTCATTCCTTGTGTCTGCTCAGGTCATGATCCTGGAGTCCTGGGATTGAGCTGCTTCTCCCACTCCCCCTGCTTGTGTCCCCTCTCTTGCTGTATCTGCCAAATAAATAAATGCAAATCTAAAAAAAGAAAAAAAGAGGACGTGAGCAAATAAATCATGGCATGCAATAAGCTACTAATGTGGAGTTTCGGAGAATATTATATTAATGTGGGAAAATGCTTATGCCATAGGGTCTAAAGTTTTTTTTTTTTTTTTTTTTTTTAGATTTTATTTATTTATTAGAGAGAGTGAGAGCAGGAGGAGGGACAGAGGGAGAAGTAGACCCCTGCTGACCAGGGAGCCTGATGTGGAGTTTGATCCCAGGACTCTGAGATCATGACCTGAGCCGAAGGCAGATGCCCAACCAACGGAGCCACCCAGGCTCAACCTCCTAAGGTCTAAATGAAAGACAGAAGACACTGAACTGTATATATGATACCACCCCAACTATTATGAACACGAGTTCCCACTTGTATAGAGAAAGGTCTAGAAAGAAATATACAACAAATTTAAGTGGTTAATTCTGGGTGGTAGGAAATTACACAATTTAACATGTGTTCTCTGTGCTTTTTAGTATGTTCCTTTTTTTAAATAACATGGCAAACAGGTATTATTTCTGTAAGAGAAATACATACGTGTGTATGTGCATTTTCTCTAGACAAGCATGCATTATCATCACTATTATTATTTAACAAGCTACAGCAAAACTGTCTCAGGGGGTTTGCTTAACTGGCTCTCTGGGTTCTACCCTTATAGGCGCACTTACGCAAACAGAATTCCCAGCTCCTGAGTCTCCCGTCCTTGGATGTACTCGGTAGGTGTACTGAGCAAACCTTGATCTGACTCGTCCTGGCTGAGGGGTCAGAAGAGCTTGATTTCCCCTGGTACTGGGAAAAAGCTCTACAGCAGATGTCCTCGGACCTTGGGTCTCGTTCTCTCACTCTGCCACTGAGGGGTTTTGGGCCAGTTCCTTCCACTTTTGGAGTCTTGACTCTCCAACTGGAAAGTGGACAGGTTGGGCCCCAAAGACTCAAGGTCCCTTCTGGTTGAAACATACTTTATCTACTGGAGCTGTAACTCATTGGCCACATGGGCCCTGCCTGGGGTGCCTAGTGAGTGCAAAGCTAAAACAACGAGCCCCGGAGGCTGAGGGCTGTTCGTGTCCTTCCATGAGCCATGTCATAGCCCAAGAGTGATTTGAGGCTCTGCTAAGAGCTGCTTGTCCCAAGAGCCAGAGCTGGTGTCACTGGACCTTCTGTTATAACCCAGGAGGGCTGGGTTGGCATGGCAGGCAACAGGTCCTGGTGATCCATGACAGTCATTCCAGAAATACCTACCTGTCCCCTGCTGCAAAGCCCTGCACTAGACACAGGGAGGAGCACAAGCATGGAACAAATAGGACCTGCCCACTAGGGAGTCATCGTGGGCAAAAGCACAGGGCTGAGTGCTTGTACCAGAAAGAAGGTGTAAAACATCCTAACAGGTGCACAGAGAAAGTTCTGTGGGAGTCTGCAGGTAGGGAGACAAGCTGGCAGTCCAACTGGGCCCTGAGACTTGTGGTTGGGAGGGATATTTCAGAGGGAGGGGTGAAGTCATCAGAACTCTGGGAATAGGTGAACGGACAAGGTAGTTGGTTTGCTTCAGGGTAGGGTGAGGTGAAGGGTATGGAGATAGGAAAAAGCAGGGAGAAGCAGCAAGTTTTAAGAGGGGTCATAGGGATCAGACCAAGATTCTGTCCATTCATTCCTTCGTTCATTCAGCAAACATTCCCTGTGCTCCAGACAGGCAGAGGAAGATCATTCCAGGTATTAGTCATGGTGACATTTTGTCGTGGGTGTCACTGCCCACAGGGAAACCACCCAAGGGAGAAATGGGTCAGAAGCCGCTGAAAGGTGGCATGTCTCCAAGCATCAGTTTCAATCTCAGAAGGGGAGTGAGAGCCATGGTGACCTATTTCATAAAGGCTTTGGTACAAGATGCTAACTTAGCTTCGAAAGATAATGCAGTGCCGTAGAAAGGGAGTCAGAAGCACAGGGCGGGCAGGGACAACTGGGAAAGGAACGAGCGCCTGCAGACCACCTGTACGGGCTGCTCCGTGTTCTCTCAGAGCCTGGGGAATCCGCCAAGAGTCCTGTGAGATGAGTACCTGAGACTCAAAGAAGCCAAGTCACTCATACCCCAGGTAGTATGAGCGCAAGCCAGAGTTTGAACTGAAGGCCACAGAAGGCTCCTCTGCCATGTTGCCTCCTCACCTCCTGAGTCTGGACCCGTAGAATCTGCGTGCATGGGATCTGGGGTGCTGGGTTCGGGTGTGGTGCGCCCCAACCAAACCCTAGAAGAGTTGGAGGAGATGGAGAGAAAAGCAGCCACATTGACAAGAGGTTCCAAATGGGAGTGGAGGGGACCAGTCTGTGGAATGAGAGCCATTGTGTGGGGACTGAAAACTAGGGTCAAGATTCGGCGCGTGGACGTTGGGGGCAATGGGTTCACAGGCTGTGACAGGGCCATGCCTCCATCTTGGAGTCGTCTGTGCTCACACCACACGCTGCTCGCCCGGCACTGTGTGGAGGACTTTGTATAAAAATACAAATATGCATCTCACGGAGAAGTTAAATGAGAGAATACATTATTATAGTACATGTACTGCCCAAATGAAAGGTTCAAGAAATGTTAGCTCTTTTATGACTCTTGTTAGCACACAGAAGGCACCTGAAGGACTGATACGACCAGTCTCTATTTTACCACTGAAGAAACAGATGTTTAGAGATGGGAGGTAGTTTTTCTCTAAAAACACAGCCTGGAAGTGGTAGAGCCTGGACTGGGAGCTGGAATTTGAATCTAGGCTTACCTGCTTGTTCTATTGTCTTCCATAAGCCTAGGACAGCGGCCACTTGGAGCCCCATTAGCGAGGCTCCGGGTTGGGTGGTGTGGGTTTGACGTGGGGCAGCGGAGCTGGGATGCTTACGACGGGGAAGCTGGTGGTGAGGGCACGGGAGGTAGACAGTGGGCATGTGTAACAGAGAATCAGTAGTACTACTGGGGAAGCACCCTACAGGTAATCAAAGGTAATACACAACATAAAAGTGGGCAAGGCATAGGAATGGGTAACCGGCAGAAGGCTTGTGAATGGTAAGTAGTAAGCTTTGAAAGGATACTCAACCTTACTGATTTTTAGAGACCTACAAAATTGAAAAATACTTTTTTTTTTTTTACACCTGCTAGAGAATGGCAAATTTAAAAAGACCGACGGTTAAATTTAGTGTGGGGCAAATGTACAGGGGATTTGCTATCGTATATTGTGGACAGACTGTGAATAGCATGGCCTTTTTTGGAGGGAAATTAGATAATGGCAAAATGTCATATCCCAGATTCTAATTTTAGAAATCTATCCTGCAGAAATGCACCTATGTGCAAACATATCTTTGTACAAAGATGACTGCTGGAGAACACTGCTGTGATCCAGTGTCCATCGATGAGCGATTCTCTACATAAATCGTGATCCATTCAGACTTTGGAATACGAAGCGGTTTTAAAAAGAGTTAAGTAATGAAGTAGAAAAATATGAGAGCAATTTAAAAAGAACATCCCTGAACATTTTGTATACTATGATCTCAGTCATACAAAAACAACCACCTCCCGCGTGTTGACCATATGTTTAGTATTATATTTCTGCAGGACATATGAATACCCAGAAAGCTGTGGAGAGATATTCTCCATCTAAATGACTGACAGGAGCTAGGGAAAGGCAGATGAGAAGCTGGGAGCTATTGTTTTATTTTATGTGCGTCTTGTTTTAAAAATTTGTTCCATAAGATTCTGTTGTTATGGTAATTAAACAGTATCAAATACAAAACCTTACAATTTCTTTAAAAAGAGCACATGGGTGGATGGCCCACGTCATCTGAATGTGACTTCCTGACAAGATGAATCCTTGGTAGCAGGGACTGATCACGAGTTTTGGAGTCAGAGTTCTCCACACATTCGTGACCTTGGTGAACTGCTTGACCTTGGTGAGTATGTTCCCTCCTGCGTAATACGGACATGGCTCATGGCCTTGGCTTATCCTGCAGGGCGGCATACCTCATTTCTTAGAGCAGCACAGGCTCCCCCAATGGGGGAAGACCCAGATAAATGGTTAACAACCGTATGGGATGGGGGCTGGTGTTAGAGGACTGGAAATTGTCGCACCTGCCACTTTCCATGGTGTAGACACTCCTGCCATGGCTGATTTCAAGCCACCCGTGTGGATCCTGCCCCAGCACACTGGAGGAGGGACCTCAGAGATGATCTAGTCCAACCCCGCCCAGTGTCTGAGCCATCTTGACTGCATCATGGCAAGACAGAACTAGACCTGCCCCATAGAACTCCTTCCCTCCACCAGCAGTAGGTTTCTCCTGGGGCCACACAAAACATGCTCGCTCCCTCTGCCACATGCCAGGCCTTCTGAGGTTTCAAGTCTACTTCTTGACTCTCTCTTGAGTCTTTTCTTCTCCAGACCCTTGTGACTCACCATGGCCTTGACTCTGAGCTCCCTCCCCCACTCCCCACCCTAGTCCCCTTCCACAGATTTGCCCTGAAAGTGTCCCGCCACTGCAGATCTCCTACCCCACCCTAAGAAGGCAGAATTTTCTGAGCTGGCTTTTTATAATAGCCTGGTCCTTGCACTGCGGATAACTAGCAGGAACAGGAGGGTGACCAGGACCATATCACTAGCAGGAGGGTGACCAGGACCGTATCACTAGGCGGGTTGGCAGAAGACACTGGCTGGGCTCACCAAGGAGGCATGGGCAGATTTCAGATGGTGGCCAAAGTCCCTTCCCATGTCCTCTGGGCTCTGCCCTTGGCCGGAGTTTGGCAACAGCTGTCCTTTTGAGCCTCCTCCCACTCCCTCAGCTGCCTGGGATACTTCAAACCTGGCCATCCTCTTAGAGTTCAGGCTGAGTCATCACCTTCCACTGTTAAGTAACAGGGAAAAGCTGGCTTGGGAGGCAGAGCCCTGCCTCCAGCCAGCCCTGGTCCGCCCAGAGCCGAGTGTGCGGGGACTCACTCTCTACTGCACGTGACTAACTCTTCTCCTCTTCTTGCCTGGCATCCCTTCTAAGCCTGGAGCCCTGGTTGCCCACCAGCCAAAGCTATGGTGTAGCCCAGTCCCTGGGGAGCAAGAGAGAGTGGGTTGATGCCCACCCTACCCCCCCTCACCCGCCCCAACAGCCCTGGGGCTCGGGGCCAGCCTTACAAGAACTCCTGGATCTGTTCTCTCACCCTCATACTTCCCTTCTCTCCCTACCCAGCTGGCCCCAATCAGGACCCAATTAAAATCTCCCGAATCGCTGGTGTTGGGTGGGGTGTCATTTCTGCGGACTAGGAGACCAGTGAGCAGGGGCAGATGTGACTTCCGAAGCAGACAGTCTCCCCACCTTGTTCCTATTGCCTCACCGCACCCTCACTGCCTCAAACCGATAAATATATCCGCCTTAAAAATAATGGGATTTAGGATCAGGGGAATAAAGTTTGTGTTTGAAAGGAAGCTACATATGGAGTGAAAAGCTTTATTGCCTTAAGGGAAGGCTCGTGACTCTGCTTTGCTCTCCTAAATCCCAGCAGGTCTAGACCTGCTCCCTCCAGAAAGTGTACTCATAGGCCTGGTTTCAGGAGGCTTAGCACTTGCTAGTGTTCTTTAAGTTCCTGAAGTATTGGTCCTGTCTCGCTAAGTAGGCTGTCAGTGCCCAGAGGACAGGACACTGCCTTTCACTTCTCTATCCCTCCATAGAGCCTGACCCATGCTGGGAATAATGAATCTTCAATAAATAGTCATTCACTCATTTCCATCCATCCATCCATCCATCCGTCCATCCATCTAGCACATGTACTATGTGTCTACCAGGCATCGGCACTGTATAGATCTGAGGCTAAAGACAAGTCACTATGTCTATGGGACTTCTGTGACGGGGCATCGACTTACAAGCTCAAATTATTTTTATTAATGCATAATGCCTTGCAATTATAGGGCACTTGGCAGTTTACAAAATGCCAGAACCATCCAGTGGGTTCCTGAGTCAAGAGCAACGAATTAGTGGCAAGCTGAGACTAGAATTCAGAGCTGTCCAACTCTGTTCATTGCTTGCTTAGCACTGCAGAGCTGTGCCGGGGATTTAGAACAAGAAGGACGCTTTCCTACTCTAGGAGCTCCTTGATCCCCGATGAGATCCACTGGCCAGCAGGTTCCACCCAAGAAGGTGCCCTGTCGATGTGGCAAGGTGACCCAGGGCGTTAGCTGGCCTTCCTCTACTGAGCCAGCAGCTGTATCCTCCCGCTGAGACGGATGGCCTGTGCAGAGCCCTGAGCCGGGCCCCAGCTTCCTGGGCTGGGCGGGGAAGTCCTTTCTGCCAGGCTCGCTGCCAGCCGGAGACGTTTCTCTGGCGTGGAGTGGGGGGGTCTTTGGGTTGGATCTAAGCCCTGCAGCTGCCAGATTCTAAGCCTCATCCTTGCGTGCCTTGCCTCTCGCCTCCCCCAACCCCAACCCAAAACCCCAGTACCTCTGGGGGTTGCTGGGACAGACAGAAGAACTGAAAAGAACTTCCAGGGCGCTCACAGCTGTGGCTGCTTAGCATCCGGCCTCCGAGGGCGGTCGGCGTTTCTCTGAGTCCGGGAGTCTCCTCTTAGAGCAAAGATCTCTGAGTCCGGGGGTCTCCTCTTAGAGCAAAGATCTCTGAGTCCGGGGGTCTCCTCTTAGAGCAAAGATCTCTGAGTCTGGGGGTCTCCTCTTAGAGCAAAGATCTCAGCCGGTTCAAAGGAAAAAGGCTTTGGATCAGAATGGCTTGTTGAGGCCAAGCGACTTCCTTCTGTTTTCCTCCTCTCCCTCTCCTGCACAGACTTGGGAAAGTTGCAAAAGAGGCCGCCTGGGTGAGCTCAGCTGCGTGGGTGGAGGGGGTGGGGTGGAATGGGAAGCCCGGCTTCAGAGCTCCCTCGGTGGGGTGGGCCCCATGAGAATTGAGTTTACAGGATGATGGCCCCCGAGGGTGGGGCGGGGGGAGGAACAAGGAATGGGAGGCTCCAGTGTGGGAGCGTGCCGGTCGGAGCCTGCCAGGAAACACACAGGTTTGTGGGCACCGTGCAAACCTTCCGGCTGGTTTAGGAACCTCTGCAGGGGCAGCTGGGAGCCCTCCCAGGAAGGGGACCTTTTCTCTGTGGAAGGATTGGATTCCCATGTGCAGCAGATTTAGTCCCACCACGAGCCTGGCAGGGAGATGTTCTGGTCCTCACGCCTTGTCCTCACCCTAGTGCAGTCCGTCCCCCGCATGGCACCACCTGGGCATTGCACACGCTTGCGCGCGCGCGCACACACACACACACACACACACACATGCATGCACACAGCACCCTGTCCTGCTTAGGACGGGGAGGCAAGTCCTGACATCTCCCTGCGCTCTCAGATGAAGGTGTGCGTCTCCACCTGAAGTACTTAAAGAGACTACGGTAATTTTCAGCACTGTTAGCACTCCGTGGAGCTGTTGGAACCATGCCCTGGGTAACCACGGCTGGCAGATAAAAGGGGAATATAAAGTGAGTTTAGACAAGCCTGCATTAAATGGGTGCCCAGCTCCCCGGGGCTCTCCTTAAGGCTTGTAACACATTCGATGGCGCCCTCCGGCCCCACGTTCCTTCCTTCCTAGACGGGCTGTTTCCTCCCTGGTGGGCTGTCCCTTAGTTTCACAGTCCTCACTCTCCTCATTCTTCCTCGCCCCCGTTGATCCTCTGGCCCCGCCCCTTTGTTACTGTCTGTGTCTGTCCTGTCCGCTGGGCTCCCGCTCTGCACAGGCAGAGCCAGTAACCTTGAACCCCACACCTTGCCACACGCAGCACCAGGGACCGGCCTGGGTACGGAGTTTCCAGTGGGACAAAAGCTCCGGCTGAAGCTCAGGCCCTTGTTCCCGTTAGCATACGTGCGTGCAGGGAGGACACGCGGATCTCCCCGAAGGCGGATCTCCCGGAAGCTCCCTAGAGGACAGGAGGCACCTCCCGAGCACGTTTATGCATCCTATTCTGCTTTGTTTGCCTGGGAAAGGGCGCACCCATCCACCCTCGGGAGGACCCCGGTATAGGACATCTCATTTGTTCTTACGCGGCTGCTCTTTAGAATCTACCGGCCCCTCCCCACCCTACATTCTTCTACTTTTCTGAGACTAGGTTTTATTTTTTCTATTTTCCCTTTCTTTTTTTTTTTTTTTTAATTAAATTTTAGTTAGTTAACATGCAGTGCCATATTGGTTTTGGGCAATAAGAGTTCCCGAGACAAGGTTTCCGATGGATGTGTGTGTGTGAGAGAGAGAGGGAGTATGGGAATGAGGACGAACCCCCGCAGAGCGACGAGACATACCTGAGCCTCTTGGAGAGAACACGTAAAAGTCACCAACCACAGGGTCTGCCGTTGTGGGTGCGTTCGGGTAGGGGAAGTGAAGTCCCCTCGCCTAGTCCTTACAGTCTCTGAACATAGGAGTGAAACTTAGACTTTCAGGGGATGTTTGCAGAACCGTCTTTAACACCTTTGAAAGCCACCGTCAGGCTTTAGTTCCCACTTTTTCTGTCCGCATGGATCAAGGGTCAGCAACGTTCCTTCTCTTCCTCTGACACATGCCACAGTGGAAAATGGTGACCGGCCGCCTCTCCCCTGCAGGGGCAGCCCTGACCCTGCCTTCATGGAACTTCCTTCCTTCTTTCCCTCTTGCTTGCATTCATCCAGTCATCTGAGTATGTCCAGCCCTTTGGAGCGCGAGACATGCACTTGATCAGTGGAAATAAGACATGGTGCTGATAATGCTTTAAGAAATGCAGCTACGGCGGCACCTGGTGGCTCAGAGGGTTAAGCCTCTGCCTTCAGCTCAGGTCATGATCTCAGGGTCTTGGGATCTAGCCCCGCTTCTGGCTCTCTGTTCAGCGGGGAGCCTGCTTCCCCCTCTTTCTCTGCCTGCCTCTCTGCCTACTTGTGATCTCTGTCTGTTGAATAAATAAATACAATCTTAAAAAAAAAAAAAAGAAATGCAGCTATGGAGTTGTGAGAATTTAGAGGATTTAGAGGAGGAAAAGGCTTTGTGGAAAGGAGGGATTGGAATTGGAGCTTGAAGGATGGACAGGATATGAACATGCACAGATTGTGACAAGCAGAGGAGGGAATCAAGTTCAACATAAGAAGTGATCGGTGGATGGAGGGAAGGAGGTGCCGACTGTCTGCTTGGCAGGAGAGAGTGCAGAGAGGAGGCTCCGAGTCAAGGCTGACCATGCAGGACAGCGATTTCAGTCTGGTTTCTCCAGGCACTGTGTCTAACGTCTCTTCACCAGAATTTTAACAATTGTTGTAAAAGGGATGATTTTGCGGAAACTGCTCCTCTGTAAACAGGATAGAAGGGTTCCTTGGAACAGAAGTGTGTGAGTGAGAAAATGGGGACAGTTTGGATCCAGAGTAGAACAGTTGTGAGAGGAGGACAGGAGGTCAAACTGAGGCATGGCCCTAGACAGCCCTCATATCAGCTTGGATTCCATCAGCATGCAGTGGGACAACTGGGGAGTTGGGACCATGGGGAAAGTGTGATTCCAGCTGGGTTTCAGAAGTGTGTGTGGAAGGAGGAGAGACCAGACTCAGAGCATCATGACAATCTTGAAATACACCTGGTGAAAGGTAATGACCAGGGATATGGAGACAAGGAAACAAGTTGTAGAGGCAGTTTTGTGACAGAACCAACATGGCAGGGCGCCTGGGTGGCTCAGTTGGTGACGTGTCTGCCTTTGGCTCAGGTCATGATCCTGGGGTCCTGGGATGGAGCCCCATACTAGGCTCTCTGTTCAGCGGGGAGTCAACTTCTCCCTCTTCCTCTGCTTGCCATTCCTCCTGCTTGTACTCTCTCTCTGTCAAATAAATAAATAAAATCTTAAAAAAACAAACAAACAACAACCAACATGACTATTGTGAAGATTCAATCCCTGACTGTTGGGTCATTCAGCTGCTGTCACAGGGGTCCTCCTGCCTAGCCAGCCCTGAGCCGGTGCTACGTGTTCAGTGGGCAACAGGACGTCTTTTTTTCCTTTTTAATAGACTTTATTTATTTATTTTTGCGAGAGAGAGAGAGAGAGAGAGAGAGCGCACGCACAGGTGAGTAGGGGAGGGACAGAGGGAGAGAGATTCCCAAGCAGACTCCATACTCAGTATAGAGCCTGATCTAGGGCTCAATCCTGCAACTTGGAAATCATGACCTGAGCTGAAATCGAGAGTCAGATATTTAACTGTCTGAGCCACGCGGGCGCCCCGAGCTCTCAGTAAACCTTAATTACCACGGGAGACGTGCTGCTGGAGTAGGAAGGAGCGCAGGCAGATGGAGGGATGAGCTCGGGTCAGGCTCTGCTCCCTGAGCCTGCCGAACAGCGGGGATGCAGATGCCCTCGCTGAGAGCGGAAACAGAGAGCTGCGAAGGGGATATGGGAGCTTCTGTTTTGTCTAAACTGAGGCTGAGACGCCAGCAGGACGTCTCCGTGGCACCAGGGACATGTGGTGCCGGAGGATCTGCGGGGGCGGGCTCTCCCTGTCCTGTGCATGCTTTTGTCCCCAGACCATGGCATAGCAGGGGGCGCATGCTCAGTGCTCAGCCCTGACACGCCCCCCTGACCCCACCCAGGCCCAGCCCCTGCCCCCCTTCTCACTTCCCGCCAGAGCAATTCTGGTGATGGCTCTTGCCGTTTTCCCTGTCCCAAATCCACCAGCGCTGCCACCACGGGTCTCGGAGCCTGCAAGCAGGGCGCCAGGGCAGGAGAAGCAGACACGGGGCTGCATCTGGGCTGGAAGATGGGCAGAGCCCCTGGCGCCCCCAGCAGCCTCCTGGGGAGGCCAGAGACATCAGAAGTGCAGGGACTCCATGCCCGCGGGCAAGACTCTGACCAACGGGGACAGGAGAAAGCGGAAACCTGCAGAGAGTTCACGCTCACCCGCCACCCTGCCACCTGGTCATGGGACCTTTCTGAGCTGCACCGGGTCCCCACCGCCTTGTGGCGATGTCTGGGGAAGCGAGCAGCACAGGAGCTTGCTGCAAACGTGGCGTCGGCTCGAGTCGCCTTCTTGTACGTTTTCCTTCTCTCTCTTCCTCACTGCCCTTTGCCCGCTCTTGTTTCCTCCGCATTGAACTTCCCAGTAAAATGTTAAATAGAAGCTTCTGACTCAAGAATGAAAAAAAAAAAATTTTCCTGTTAGGGAACTTGGGCCAGGATAGGGTTCCACAAATACGCGCTGGGTACACGGGGGCGTTAGAGGACTCGAACTCCGGTTACACCGCGCAGGGAACGACTGAAGACCGAAGACTTCACTGGAAAAAGTCGGACATTTGCAAACCGTCTGCTTGGAAAGGGCGACACGGGGGTTGTGTCCGTGGCTCAAACCCGCGCAAGAGGCACCTTATCTCCTAAGGGAAGGGGAGAGACAGGAGAGAGAGGAAGGCTGAGGAGGAGCTGGAAACATGCTCACATTTGAGAAGCAGGAGAGAGAAAAAGATCCCAGCCGCAGGCCTGCAGAGGCAGACGCCACTGGTGTCCATTCAGGCCCCCCACACGTGAGGCCCCCCTGCAGATAACGCGTAGCCAGGGGTTACGGTTGAGCTGGTGGACAGAACCGTCAACCAGACAGAGTTCCC